GCATGGGGTTGTTCTCGGTTCAGGGTAGCAGTTGTTAACGTCTGTCATAAGTAGTTCTTCCGCGTGGTTTGGCTTCGTGCGGTTGTAGGGCCTGTTGGGGCGGTGGGGGTGTGTCGGGTTGTGCGTCGGTTCTCCGAACCTTCGCAAGGCTTGTCGCGTGCTTCACATCTCTACATGGACAGCACGCACACCTCGTCACACGTGTTCAAACAGATCGTCTCGATGGAAACTGTGACTTTCATTGTGTTGTTTGTCAGCGCTAGGTTGGTGGTTGCGTGGTTTGCATTCGGACTGTATCGCCTAGACCTGCAGGAGCAGCCCAGGAACGTTGGTTTCTGAGTGCACCTCTATGGCAGCATCCATGCTGCTAAATGTTTCCTAAGAATCCAAGCATCCAGGCTACCAGCCTTACACATCCATGCGTATATCGGCTCGATTTTGCGTGCAGGATTTGTGCCTGCTTGGGAGCGTGGGTGAGTCAAGCGTGCTTGTGGCGGATTGGCGTAGCATAGCGGTCAGGTCTGAGCGACATCCGGCGAGTGAGCTGTGTCACCCTGAGCGAGAACATGCAAACAAACCAATTATCACATGGAGGACAATGCGTCTCGACACCTCTGCACAAAAAGCCATCCATTCTCGTTTACTGGTGCGTGGTCCGTCCGCGACTGATGGCCGTGGTGTCGAGCGCAGTCAAGAAAGCCTCATAGAGGTCCGCGTGCTCCACTTGGGAGGCAATGTTCTTGAGAAGAGCAAAGGCACTTCTGACAACAACAGTCCTCTCAGCTGGAGTAGCGTTTCCAACACAACCGATAATATGCCCGAATTGAGAACTGCTAACCCTGAACCTGGGCCCTGCAAGACGCACCGCCGGCAAGTCTTTATCATGAGGTGGCACGTCGGCTTCGGCAGCAGGGAACTGCCTCCTGTCAACATTGGATACCAAAGTCGCCACGCAAGGGGATCCGGCCAACAAGTGAGCCTTCAAGAGGTTCCGGAGCCAGAACTGCATGACGACAACAAGTGCCGCCAGTACAGGCCCAGACTGGACTGTGATGGCCAAGTGCCCCATCAACTGCAAGTCGGAAGTAAACACGGTCTCACATTCATGGCAGCTGAGCAAGGACTCATCCACTGTCCGTTGCACGTCCAGGCTGGAAGAAACCCCCGCACATAGCACCGCACTATCGCTGCTCTGGGGCGCTCAGAAAACTCCTGGAACCGGACCCACATCGGGGCTCGAGTACAGACATGCCAAGTCATGAGCAAGCAACGGAGCCAAGATTGCTCAACCAAGCCCCTGAGTCCACGTGTGGAGTGCCTCCTTGCTTAAAGGACCCCAGTTGGCAAGGTTGTGTTCCGCCGCTGATGCACCAAGCACCTCGCTTGTGCCTTATGTCAAGATCCGGCCTCCTCAACACCTTACGCGCCGGCGGTCGGAGGTAGCCGTTGGGCTAGCCAGGTGCAACCGCGCTTGACTGAAAAGGGATGCCCTGCAGCTTGTGGAAGAATCGACTCTCGCCTCTCTGAACAGCTTTGGAGTCCTCACCGCCAAGCCAGACCAAGCACTCTGTTTTGCCGCGCTCAAGACACAACTGGCCCTGTCAGCCCTCTCCGCGGCCTCAGCGCTGTTGAAGGGGAGGGCTTTGAGTAAGACCAGCCACCAGTTTCTGGAGAGCCAATACTCATTGGGCACACCCGACGGACCAGTAGCCTTGTGTCGTGGAAGCTGCCGCAGGCCATGCGCCAACTGCCGAAGCGTGGTTTAAGCTCGATTCAGGTCAGGTTGGGATTTGATGAGGAGGCTAGGGCATGGCGAATGTGGGGTTTGGGGCGTGAGGTTTTAGGGTTTAGCATTGGTTCAAGTTAAGTTAGGGTTGGTGTTTCCAGGGCTTTGGGAGGTCTTGTGCGTATGGTCGGTCGGTCCACGACGAATGGCCGTGGTGTCGAGCGCAGTCAAGAAAAGCCTCATAGAGCTCCGCGTGCTCCCCTTGGGGGGAAATTCCCTTGAGAAGAGCAAAGGCACCTTTGACAACAACAGGCATCACAGCTGGAGTAGCATCTCCAACAAAAACGATATCATGCTCGAACTGAAAACTGCTAGCCCTTAACCTGGGCCCTGCAAGACGTACCGCCGGCAAGTCTTCATCATGAGGCGGCGCATCGGCCTCAGCAGCAGGGAACTGCCTCCTGTCAACATTGGATACCAAAGTCGCCACGCAAGGGGATCCGGCCAACAAGTGAGCCTTCAAGAGGTTCCGGAGCCAGAACTGCATGACGACAACAAGTGCCGCCAGTACAGGCCCAGACGGGACTGCGATGGCCATGAACCCTGGCCAAGTGCCTCAACTGCAACTCGAAAGTAAACACGGCCCAACACTTGATCCAAACCCAAACCCAGCACCCGGCGCACACCACACAAACCCCTAAAAAATGACCCCTCCTCATCAAACCCCAACCTGACCTGAATCAATCTGGAAATCAGACCCTCGCCCCCAAGCCTGTCAGGGTTTCACTTTCCGGGTGTGTTAAATTGGCCCGTCGTGCGACAGCTCAGGATGAGGGAGTTCCGTTTGCTCTCTGTGAATTGCCCATGTGCGACACGGAGCCGTTACGCATGGCTGTCGGCACACTTCACTTTCTGTATATGGGTGAGGGAGTCTTGGCTGACGTTAATTAGCAACCACCGGAGCATCTTTATTATGGAGGGTATCGGAAAGTGCTTCAGGAAGTTGTTGCACCGGGAGCTTGTCGGTCATGTCAAACGCCAGACGGATGAGGTGTTCCGTGGCTGCGTTCCTGCTCGACGTGCTCTCGCACTATGTCGTGGCTTGGTTGGGGGTCTGTCGAACTCGGAAAACTTGTTGCGGCTTGTTGTTTATGGACCTGTGGGCTGTGTACTACGGAGAGCTACGGTCGAGGCTTCTCGGGGAATGGTCTGATGCTGCTGTGTGTGATGTTCTCAAGCAGATGGGCGTGAGCTCGAGCTTGTGGCATGAAGTGACGGCCTGGTCGGGGGGCGGCGCGGGCGGTCTCTTTCAGCCTGGACGTGCAACAGGGTTGTGCGAAAGTGTTTGATTGGTATATCAACACAGCTGCCTGCGAATGGTCCGACTTCCGATTGGGTTCACCATGATCCGACTTCCGGATGCTCGTATCAACGAAGTCTTGATTACAACAAACCCATGCCTGAATGTGGTGTTTTGGAGCAGGTTGAAAATGTCAATCAGACGCCTTCTGGCTGCTAAGTGGCACGAACTTCTTAGCTTCACGTTTTGAACTTGCTGGTACGTCACAATATACATGCACATAGGTGTGTACATGCACACATGCATGCATGCAGGCAGAAACACATGCTTACATTCACGTTGGTGTGTGCCTACCCATGTGGTGTCCCCGAATACATCCCAAGCACTAATACAGATAAACATGTCATTTGCGGTACATATCAAACTACGCTAATTACTGCTCCAGGATGCTCCAGGCTCCCGGCCTCATGCAGGACATACCAACTCGACGTTCACCTTGGGGGCTCGGACAGCAGCTTTTGTTCTTAAGTTGCTGTCGTCTTGTGCAGTGTTATTAAATGGCTTACCAGGCCACATCAACACGCTCAGCTAGTGGAAAGTCGGTATGCTGCAACGCGCACATATCCGACTGAAGGCTAGAAGCTGACGAAAGACACGTTGCAAGTTGTCGGTCTGACGTTGACTCCTGCCCAAGCCGCGAGGCTCTCCGCATCATGTCTGCGTGCTCTCCCTTTTGCATCTTCTTTCCATGGGACCCAACACCGCTTTTCAGTCATGGGTTACAGTGTGCGAAAGCACTTCTCGACACTGCGTCTAGCGAAAGAACCTGTAGTTCCTGCATGCAGGCGGCCAGCTGTGGGAAACATCCAAAAAGGCGCAGTGTGACTTCGCAGCCAGCACGTTGCCAGTCGTCGACATCTTGTTGGGCTGATGTGTCCAAGCAGAGGTTTCGGAGAGCCAGGAAAAGTCGACAAAGCGTGCTCCGAGGCTGCGCCGACTTTGCAGTTTTCTGAACACTTTGATAGTCTTGTTAGGCCATCCCCCCTCAGTTCGCACAACCAGCAAAACTGTGACTTGGCGTGGCCCTTGGACTTCGGAAAGACTGCAGAACTAAAGGTATGCACGAATGCCGGGTTTGTTTGGAGAGCAGTTTCGCTGGGAAGACATGATGTAAGCCTTATAAGGCAGGCTGAGCTGTTCACTGAATATCACCATGCATGTTTAACGATGCAGCAACTTTCGCCAAGTTGCTGAAAGCCTGTTCGTGACGAAAAGTCGGAGAGTAGTATTCGCAAGCTGGAAGAAGGCTGAACTGGATTTCGACAACGGGGAGGCCAAGAGCTTGCGACCTCACTTGTGCCCTGGGATTTGTTCGATCTGTTCAAGCTGATACCCAGCCGCTGTGGATATGACGGAGGTACTACAACTACCCAACCCGCGGTATTTACAGCGGCTGAGGAATTCGGACGGCAGTAAGTGTAGCTTCTGTCCCTGAGGATATTTTTCTCGCGTGGCCGTCCAAAGTTGACTGGCCAAAGCTCTCGACCAACGAAAAAGGCTCCGGTCCAGATAGACTTTGCCTGGTAGTCGTCCTGCTATGACAGGGGTTCACACACTTGTAGACGCTGCTGCCGTCATGTGCTACGTGTTCTTTGTGCACATCCTCCCTACAACTCTGGCTCAAAGCACCTCATGCCTGAGTGGCAGCCAGCGTCGCGGCCTTAGCTGCGCATAACATTGCTGTGCTTATGCCGGTTGTCTCTCGTGAAGAAGCTGTGGTCATGTCGATAGGCGCTGCTTCGGTGACAATCAGGGTGGGTGAGGAGGGTGAGTGAGGAGTGATGAGGGTGAGGACAGTGGGTGAGGAGGGTGAGTGAGGAGGGTGAGGAGAGTGGGTGGGGAGGGTGAGTGAGGAGGGTGAGGAG